TCTGTCAATGAACATGCGATACAGAAGAAAGCCGTTTGAAGGACTGCGGGGGCAAACCAGGAGGCAAACGTAAATCGAAGACGAACCGTAAAGTGGTTGAATTGCCAGCTGCCGACAAAGCAGATGCCGAAGAAACGGAAGATGGTCACGCTGAAATACAACGTGCCATCGAAGATGTGATACAATTTTTGCAAGACAATGTTTGCGATTCAGAATCGTCGACATCCGCCACAACTGCCAACGCAGAAAAGCAGGGGCCTGAACATATCGACCCAGCGAGTATGCAACAAAACGTCGATGTCACCAAAGAAAATGGTACAAGAAAATGTATGCGATACAGAACAATCAACACTTGCGAGTTTCCCCGAAAAACAAACTATTAAAAATGTGTTGTGTATGCACACGCATGGCCAATGGGACATGCGTGATGATGAACTTGTATTGGACGAAAAAACAAGTGAACTACGACAAAAAATACCAGATGACTTCATAGTTGCAAATGACGACGATACAGATTCAGAAATCGGTGAAGATCGGGCTGAGAATGACGATTTTTTTGAGCAACGTTACCTACCTGTACTCGATAGCGACATTGAAATTGAATCAGACACAAAAATTGGTGCTACATTCGATTATGTTGCCTCCGGCACTGATAAATGGAGAATGGCCATGGAGGAAGACGGCGATATATTTACTATTCCAGTTTTTGAACACGAACCTGGACCAACTTTCGAACTGCCTTCATATGCTCGTGAGGTGGAATATTTCTACAAATTTATCCCACCAGAACTGATAGAACTGTCTTCCATCGAGACTAATAAATACGCCAAATATCATCAAAATACATTGAAAAAAATTAAATGCCCACTGGCGTAATACAAATTTCAGTGAAATGCAAGCATTCTTTGGTGTGATGATATGAATGGGTGTTGATCACAAATCAGCAATCGACGATTATTGGTAGAGGGACCCCTTTCTGCAGAATATGGGAATTGCATCAGTAATGACTCAGGCCAGATTTCAAATGCTAATGCAATATTTTCATTTAGCTGATCCAGTAAATGACCCACGGCGGGATCCTGACATTGAACGTCGTCGTCAACGATCAGAGGCCGACCCGTTGTATAAAATCAACCCGTGGCTGAAACCCGTACTCGAAAATAGTCGGCGATACTATCAGATGGGACAGGAAATTTTGATTGATGAGGGTATGGTTAGATTCAAAGGACGGTCCAAGTTTAAGCAGAGATTGCCCCACAAACCCGACCGTGATGGCTTCAAAATATGGCAGGTGTGCGACTCAACAACGTCTTACATTGCAAACTTTGAACCGTATTTGGGGGTGAAATATAAAACTACAAATGAGGGAAGAAGGAAAGAAACTGGGACAATCAAGAAGACAACACACCGGTTGCTACAGCCCTTCACAGAAAAAAACCATAATCTTTTCTGTGATTCGCTTTTTACGTCGGTTAACACAGCCCTTGAATTACAAGACAAGAAAGTGTACATGGTCGGTAGTTTTAGCAGACGAAATCGGAAAACCATGCCACAGCAATTAATTCCTGAGGGGAAAAGCAAGAAGCTGAAATTGAAAATTGGTGAAATGAAAGCAGCAACTAGACCGGACAACACTATCAATATTACTGCATACCAGGATGACAGCGCACAAATATTGATTTTAAATACGGTCTATCCCCCCACTGGCTACGTCGGCAGAAGCAGTAGATGACGAGAGACACGTGCCTGTATCGTTACAATGTTACAGACAACACATGGGTGGCGTGGATCTTTCTAACGAAAGGCGAAAATACTATCACATGGGCAGAAAAAACAATCGTTGGTGGATCTACATGGCCTATTACCTCATAGATGTTGCGTTGGTCAATGCTTATGAATGTTTCAAGGCATTGAATCGCA